TTTTTAAGTGGGAGAACCTGCACAATTGGTGGCTGACTAAATACTTTTTTCCCCCACTGTATCTTGAGCCAACCCTGAAGTCATTATTTAAAAATTAAAGTTGGGTTGCTATTTAAATTAATTTCACAGAAGTACTATCTTTGTGCTTTTACTCTTTCTCCATGCAGAGGACAACTAGGGGTAGACTTCATTTTCCAAGGCAAATATTTGCTTACCTCTTCCATGGGGATGACTTGAGCATATCCACCTCCTGCTGCTCCTCCTACACAATGAAGGGGACATGTTAGCAAACTCTGGAGGATAAGGATCCCAATTTCCCCTCCTTTCAGGCTGACTTTTAGAAACAACATTCCCTCCACCTTACTCAGCCTGGGATCATTAACAGGAAGCTAATCGTATTTCCTTATATCAGATTTGGTTTGCCTATTGTCACCAGCATTTTGGGGGGCTGTGAGAACACTTCAAAAAAAGCTGGAGTAGGGTAAATATTTAGTCCATTTGGAAGGGCTCAAAGGATTACAGGCATTTAAGGGTCAAAACTCAGGAGTCTGATGACATATTTTTAGACTAACACATTGTATTAAATTGTAGCTCACATTTTGTGAGCTACAGCTACAGGGATTTAAGGAGTGAAACATTCCTTAAAAACTAAGTACCTTCTCAAATTCGGTTACTTTTCATGGGGGCGGGGCTTAAGAAGCAAACAGGTGCCTTAAGCTTTGCAAAACGTAAGGTGATGTAATGGGCTGTGAGAATAACCTTGGGACACAAGAGGAAGACCCACAGCCTAGAGCAGTGTTTCTCAAACTTGGGAACTTTAAGATGTGTGGAGTTCAACTCCCAGAATTCCCCAGCCAGATGCTGGGTAGGGAATTCTGGGAGTTGAAATCCACACATATTAAAGTTCCCAAGGTTGAGAAACACTGAATGGTCTGGTAAATGAAATCTGAGTCCAAAGGATTAATGGGGTGGAATAAGCATCTCAGAAGAGATCCTCCCTAGTTCTCTGGAACATAAAGGCGGGGAGGGGGGAAACTGCTTTCAGACCTGCAAAATTCTGTTACTGCAACCTTACAATAAAGGTAGTATTAGTTGCCATGGTTTTGGTTTCCTGTCTGGACTACCTCAAAGGGCTGACAGGTATCTATTTTTCCCTTAAAACCCCTCCAAACTGCTTTGCCATTTCAAAAAGACCATGACTTTTGGTCCTATCTACTCTGGTAATAACATGATGTCACCAGCCAGCCCTCCTGCAATTTTCAAAGGGAAATTACTGCCTGCTCTTATATGATGAAATAATGCATACCTTTAACACCAAAAGTAGGTCCTTGAGAAGGCTGTCTCAGGCAGGCAAAGGAGTTTATTTTAAGGTGGGCTGTCAGTGCTTGAACCAAGCCAATTGTCACAGTACTCTTCCCTTCCCCAAGAGGTGTTGGTGTAATCCTAACAATAGAGGAAGATAAAACTCATTCCACCAATAGGTTTGCTGATGCTAGCTTAAATAAGGGTATTTCAATCAAATAATAATATTTTACCATTCTTATGTAAAAAATATTCAGGCAGCAACATATGCCCACCATAGAATAAAGCAGAGTTGGGAAAGAATATAAACTAGGGTGATATCTAAATTAGGCAGCAATTAGTCCTGATAATTAATCATATTAGACCTTTAAAATGAGACATACTCAAGTTGTGAACAATAGGGATATACCAATACATCTAAACCCCCCACCCAAGCCTGTATTATTATTTCAGCAAAAATAAAACACAGCGAATCACAACATCAATAAAACAGTATTCTCAAGCTTTGCAGTGCTATGATCTATTACAATTCCATATAGGGCTGACCTTTATCATCATCCTGATATCACTCAAGAATCTGCTCTAAATTATACAATTCAGCTAAAATTAAAATCCTTGAGGCCCTGAAGAAATGCAATGATTTTCCTTACCATTCTGCCTGGATAAGAGGGCTTCTCCAGGTAAAGCAGGAAAAATGTGAGCTTTTGCTTAGCTGTTATTTGTCCAACAAATTAACTGGCTCCCATGAACTAGAGCAAACACAGCTGAATATAATAGTGGCATACCACAGTACTCCTTAATACAGTCCCTCAAATTTCTGATTTGTATGATCCTAAAATGATTTTTCTTCAATATATTTTCCTGGTGCAAAGGGATTTGCATGAATCATATGCTAACAATACTGCAATACTGTCTTTAAATCCCATTAACAATTTTACAGAAATTTTAGGGTACTCAATTAATTTCACAAATTCCATACAGATGGCTTTATTTCATCCCCCAAAAGTAAGTATAGGATTTTTCAGTGCCTGATGCTCCATTCCAATCGTCCAGCACCTAGAATCTTAAAAGAGATTTGGTAGGATCTGTGGCACTTGGAAAACTGCAGAGTGGAGAGCTTGCTTAGAAAATGCTGAATACAGGTAGTCCTCGACTTACGATCACAATAGGGACCGGAAAATTCATCATTAAGCGGTAAGGTCATTAAGTGAGGCATCAGGTGACCGCACCTGAGTTTATGATTTCTTTTGCAGTGGTCGTTACGTGAATCATGTGATCGTTAAGTAAATCACAAAGTTGTTAAGTGAATCACACGGTTCCCTATTGATTTTGCTTGTTGGAAGCTGGCTGGGAAGGTTGCAAATGGTGATCATGTGACCCTAGGACGCTGCCACCGTCATAAATACATGCCAGTTGCCAAGTGCCTGAATTTTGATCACATGACTGCGGACACGCTGCAACTGTCGTAAGTGTGAGGACTGGTTGTAAGTCACTTTTTCAGCACTGTTGTAACTTTGAATGGTTGCTAAACAAATGGTCATAAGTCGAGGACTACCTGTATTCAGGTCTTGTAGCCTGTCCAAGCTCCATATCCCTTATCCGCATCCATCCTATTGAAACTGTACCTTACAGAGGATTATGAAATATAAAAAATAACCTCCTCCCTTCATTCCCCTTGTCTGCAAAAATCATTGCACTGTCTTTCTGATTTCTTAGCCAAGCCAATATTTATGCTGTATGCCATTTTCATGACAACTGCCCACAAAAAAAGATAAGCTAGGATCTGCTTCTTTAACACTTTCCAGTTTGGGAAGGATGCCTTTGCACAATATCCTCCAAAAAGCACACACAAAAATATGTCTGCATAACTGGGCAGAGATGATCCTGCATAAAAGATAAACTGCATAAAAATTTCATCCAGTTCTTCCAGCTAATCAATTATTAGTAATGTGGGCATCCATGAGAGGGAACCAGGGGGCAAATGACAATACACACATTGTGCTGTGATTGCACAAATTATATGACTTACATATTTGTTTCAGACATGACATTGTTGCTAATTGTGACATTTGTGAAATTATATCACAATATGTGTGTTGTCAATTTGTCATCATCGTGGCCTATTATGGAAACCAATGATTAGTAGCTTCCTTTTGAAATATAAAAAATTATAGACGTCTTGCACAAAATCCCGGGAGTCAGTTTGTCTCAGTTTAGTATGTACCAGTTTAGTATACAGTATAATATAACTGGCTATAAATAGTCAGTTTTTTCCCCAAATTTCAATCTCTTCTGTAAAACACAAACCATTTACACCTTTTGTGATTCCAGTGCATTCAAAGAGATATACAAATATTTGGATTTGAGCTAAGACTTTAATGAATGAGTCTCTGAAACAAAGTAGACTCTTTTCAAAATAACCAAATCCAAGTCTGAATTGGATTTCATGATCTATTCCAAGTATCCAACTGATTACCTTCCAAATGAGAAATAAAATGGGACTGCATCATGTAAGTCATTTCATCAATTTTGTCAAACACTAAGATATTGTCAGAAATGAATCTGTCTTGGCTTAGAAGGATTCTTTATATTTTAAACATAATCTTATATTAAAATGCAAATATTCCAGACATTTTATTTCCATTAGCTAATATCCCCCTAAGTGTTAAAAATTTGTTCAGTCTTCTGTTGCACGCTGAGACATACTGAAATTATTATAGTCACTGTTTCAAAATATGCATCTATACATACATATAAAAATTAGTAAATTTTACTCATACCCTTGTCCATTTTTATATTTATCTATTTATCAGAAATGCTTTTATGCTGCTTCCATCATATGACTCCCAGTAGCTTTGATGATATTTTGTAAAATATTATTTTATTAAGCATTTTAGAAAAGAATATAAAGCAAGAAACATGAAAGACATATAAAGAGAATTAAAGAGTAGAAAGATATAAGTAAACATGTGGTCTAAAATGTCATGAAGGTTACAGCTTTTCAATATATGCTTAGTTACTTACAAAGTAAAAAAACAAGTATTTCTCTTTTTTTAAGGCAATGTAGCCACCTATCCTCTATTTTTATAAACTTATAAATAGGAAATTTAAGGCTGAGTTTGAACCTTTTAAAGAAACATTGGAGGAAAGATAAGATTTTAAGAAGTACTAAAATGATGCAGAGAGTAAAGTGATAAAAATGAGTATACATTAGACCTAAGGGCCTGTTAGTGAACCAACAGGTTTGGGAGAATAAGGGGGTGATAAAAAGGAAAAGATGTTTTCCTACATGACAATTAACTTATGGAAATTAGCAATGCTTTTTTAACAGAATCTGCTTCTCTAGAATGGCATTGTTCCAATATGTTAAACATCCATTCTCATAATTCTCAGCCATCATGTGAAGAGGAATTATTTCTATTTTGTTGTAAAAACAATGACAAGCACACAACCATAAAGTTACACTACAATAAATGCATTTCTGCAGAAAGATTTCAAAACTACCCAAGCAATTCATCTGGGGCATCTCTTTCATCAGCCAGAGAATATTCAAGTTAAAAACCAAACAAAACTAAATTACATTTTCATTCACATCATTCCCACTCCATTTCTAAGAGAAAATGCTTGCCAAGATATGCTGCATTTAACTGTTTAAATCTGTGATACTTTAGCAAATGCAGTGAAATAAGTAGTTTATTTAAGGTATGTGACATTGTGGATTACATTTTCATTCCCAGGGATATACAAGCATTCATGGAAATGTGAGCCAAAAGGGGTAACTCCTATAGCATGACCTCCTAAAGACTCAAGCTAGAAATCCACCTCTAATTAGAAACATATTTCCCTAAACTGTAGAAAGTATGTAAAAGGTCCAGCTGTCCTTTGTATGCTACATTTGCTTTGGGTGAAAGATGCAATCAGAAATATTTGTTTTACAGTTCATCATCATTTAAAAGAACTAAATATTTTGTCTATCATCATTTAAAATAAAACATGCTATGTAACAACTTTGCGAGATCAGAAGAACCAACGTGTTTTAGTAGTCTGGGTATCAGAATAGGGCTAAGAAGACCAAGTCTCATGCCCTCATTTAGCTATGGAAGTTTAGTGGGGGACTTAGTCCCTCAGCATAACTCATCTATCTGATGATCTCTTGATAGTGGGAAAGGGAATTTTAGAACATTCTGTAAATGTAACATTTTATATTTGGGTTCTGAACCAATGAGGACAGGTTTAAGGAGAACATAAAACAAAAAAAAGTATAGTACTAAGTTGAATTCCTGTAATGAGCAGTAAGAATAATCTTGAGAAACAGGAAGAAGAGCCGCGACCAAGACAAAGTCAGACAAAAGAAATTTGAGTCTGAGGCAGAAATGTAATTTGAAAAAGTGTCTCAGACTTGATTCTCCCTAGTTCTCTTGAAGACAAAGAGAGGGTGGGGAGTGATGCATTCAGACTTGCAAGACTAATGTCAGCCCGAGATACAGCAGACTAGGAAACCAAAATTATAAATGCTAATGTTACTTTTATAAGGTTACAGTAACAGAATCTTCCAAGTCTGAATACTACTTCCTCCCTTTATCTTCAACGATAACCTGTTCCTCAAGGTTATTCTTACTACCCATTACGATTCCATTCAAAGCAGTCAAGTGGTCACAGACAATTCATTTTCCCCCCAAAATGAATGTCTAGAATAAGCAGCAGATAGTTGCACATTACACTCCATTGACTGGTGATGAAGAACCAGATATGAATTTTGGAAAATTGTGCAACATTCTAAAATGAAAACTTGCACACTTTGCTGCCATCTATTAGTTATCTGCGTTTATGCAGTCGTGGTCAGATAGCCCTATTCACTACATCTGAAGAAAACAAAGTGTGACATGGCAAGAATTGTTGACAGCTTCCTTATTGCTAATGGCAGTATTCATGCAATAAGTGCCACCTACCAGAAAATTAAGGATAGAAATGCAGTGAAATATTAAACATATAAAGCCATGTAACAATGAGCCTTCCTAATCACAACAGGGAGACAGATTTTATAAAAGATGCAATGTTGGCATGGAGTCCTGATTCTCAAAACAGAGCTACATAGCATATATTTCTAATTACCTGGCTGACTGGAACTAAGATAAGCTCTAGGTTACTAAATAGTTGCAAAGACCTTTAAATGACTGGGGATGTTTAAAATGAACATAAACATCCATTCATTTAGGTCAGGGGTCCTCAAACTTTTTAAACAGGGGGCCAGTTCACAGTCCCTCAGAATGTTGGGGGGATGGGTGGACTATTTATTTATTTATTTATTTATTTATTTATTTATTAAACTTGTATGCCACCCATCTCCCCCAATGGGTGACTCTGGGT